CTCTGTGTGTGCACACTTTTATCTGCCACTTGCATTATTCTCTATGGCATTCACAAAATGTGGAACAATATCCAAGCGAATCGCGTGCCAGTATCCGAGCTGCACAGTCCCCGCCGCCGGCCCCAGCCCCAGCCACCTGCTCATGTGACACAGCTTTTGTTCTAGGGCAGAGTTTTCTCTAGTTTTCACATTTCCGCAGACAATAGCCAGCGCTATTGAAATTCATTCGGCTATAGAGTTTCACATGGGAATACGTACTCAAGCATTTGTACTAAATAAATAAACAAAAAAAAGAACATTGCATACGCACATAAATAAACACAAAACACCTAGTGTAGGCGCTGATAATACTGATAAACTTTTTAAATTACCTCCATAAAAAATAGAAAAGAGCAACACATTCGTCAGAAGTGGAGTGAGTAAGCGCCTAACTAGTATTTCATGGCTTTCTATTAAAAAAAAAGTATTTACATCATTTACCAAAGTTCATTAATTAAGAGGCAATAAAGTTCTCATTAGTATATATATTCGCAGCTGTTCAAATATATATATACATATAACAATTTATTAAATTAATTGCAGCTAAAACAAAAGCATTTGCCCTAAAAAGTACGTGTGCTAGATATTAAATCTAAAATTCTCGGAATATTTTGTGCTTTTAGCATTTCCACAGATAAGTATAATTAATGCATTTGTCATAAATTTCCTTTACTCAATAAACAATTTGGCGCCAGTTCATTGATTTTGGCATAATGCAAAATTATAGTGTGCCAATCGAGTATAAAGTATTTCAAGATGTTGCCAAAACGCAAAATGGCTGTCAAAACTGAACAGTCAAGGCTAATCCCATATATATATATATATATATATTTATATAGTTTGAGTTAACATCATCGATTCAATCACACGATCATGTTAATTGCATTAAGTTAGGTTCTATGTTGATTTGTCATTGTTTCTCTTGCTGTTGTCGTTGTATTCGTGCGAGCGCAGCTAATAAAAAGTTAACAACACCAAATTACGTATACGACCTGTGGAGCACTGCGAACCGTAATTGACCTTGCCAAACACTTCAAAATGTGGCTGTTCGCTTGGCATGCTTATTATATTTGTTATTGTTTTTCTTTTTTTTTTATTTTGTGGATATTTTTATTAAAGTTGCACAGCGCAAAAAAGGTGTTGATAATGAATTCAAGCCAAACGATCGAAAGCTTTAGATGAATACGCGCAGAGTTCATGCCGCGGCACTTGAACCTCACAGAATATCTAGTTGAGGATTTCAATTTCTCTGAGCTATTGAAGAAATGTCCGTTGTTGTGGCTGCTGGACAATTGCATTGCATTAAATGAAATCAAATGAAATGATGTAAAATGAAATGAATCAAGTGAAGTGCCGCCGATAAATGTCTAAACGTAATTCAATTGTTATGCAATCAGTCGAGTGACGCGACATATTCCATAAAAGAAAACTTCGAGGAGTGAAAAAATTGAAAAGAAATATATATGCTAGTATATAATAAATATGAAAACGTTTCCCACATTGCGCAGTCGTCACTTTGCGTTGATTATTATTGTTGGCAATTTCTATAATTGAATTTTTTAATAAGCTCGCCTCGCCACAAATACCCCATAATCAAATGGCTTACAGCACGAACACACACACACAGACAGAGAGACACACACACACAAGAGCCTATTATCAGTGCACAAATTGTATGCGAAGTATCTGTGTGTGTATCTGTATCTGTCTGCGACACAGCCTCGTATCTCTATACGCATACTCCAATCGAGTATTCGTAATCTGTTGTCTGCTCGATTGAGGCACTTCATACACGATCTGCAGTTGGGTTAACACCCCCCATTTTTGTCTGGTTGGGGGCGTACGCGCTGCACCTGCTAATCAATATGTCCGAATCAATGAAAGCCAGCCAAGCGTATCGTCAAAATAAATATTTATAATATCTGTAACTCAAGTCGCTGCTTTTGATTTTTGGTTACAAACTGCTGGCGCTTCAGTAAATTGTGCTCAACTCAATTTTCAAACAGTTCCAAGTATTTATTTAATTGCTTGTTTATTGTAAGCTTTGGCCACGTTTCGAATACGATTCGATTTCGGGTATAGTCTTAGCTTCTGGGTTTTGGATTACTGTAACGACAGTACTTCATGTTTGCGCCTGGGAAAACAGAAAGCACTCGACACAATCTAAAACATTCCTATGTATTGAATTATTGTTTTTGGTAAGCTTAATACTTGTATATAAAGAATTGCCAGTCTTTAGAGTATCTGGGTTTTATTTCGCTTTAAGTTTGCCCAAATTTCGTGCAATTTTTTACCCTCGAAAAGTTGTTTGTCTAGGTTTCTGATAATTCAATAATTAGAAAAAATCTTTAAGTGAACAGTTCAAAGCTTATTTAATCTCTTTGCTTACTATTATTTTGTTGTTTAAAGTGCCTTTTTACGCAATCTTGTTTCAGCCAAATACAATTGACATTTAAAGAGGGGCCGAGGCAGCAGCAGAAGACGAGACTGAAATACGGCAACGACATACACGAAGTTCAATATGCAACAGGCAAGTTTGTGAGTTTCTATAAATTGAGCTGCCAATAAAATGTCAATCGCTGACTGCAGTTCAGCTGCCAAAGAGAGGGGCAGAGGGTAGGGGAGGGGAATAGTTGATAGTGAACAACAACTAAGTGAAAAGCAAATTTTGGCAGCTGTTGCGGGACGCGCTTAAAAATAGCAACAAAAATGCGAGACAGCAGCGCGGGCGAAATTTCGCAAAATAAAGAAGAAGAAAAAACAACGCATACAACAAACTCAAAATGAAATTAAATAAATTCAAATAAAATTACTTATGCGATAGAAAAGCGTTTTGGGTAGCTTTTGCGCAAAAATGTATGTATACAAAATCGAAGGCGGCAGCTACGACAGCCAGCACATAGAGTTATAAAACAAAAGATACATTTGTATCTATAGAGAATGGAAGAGTGAGGAGCGCAGAGAGAGGCGTCTCTATTTAAAGATTGACTGCCAGGCGACATTTTTCACGTACGGATACGTTGTTGGGCCATTCACGCACCCAAAATGAAAATGTATCTAGGCATACGTATGTGTATCTTGTAGTTATGCGACGAATGTGTGTTGCGATTTGACAAGTTTTCTCTAAAGCAAATGCCGTGTCTTCTACTCGTCTACGGTCTTCTTTGCTGGGGCGCACAGCAGACTGTTCTCTCTCTCTCTCACCCTCTCTCTTTCTTACTGTATCTCTATCTCTCGTGTATTACATATTGTACATTTATTGAAATGAGCACACAATGCGCAAATACAAAGCGCCGGGCAGCGAAACGTGCTCAGTACAAACTAGTCTATAATTTTAAAAATAAACTCTACGCAAATTATGAAATATCCCACTCTTCTTCTTCTTTCTGCACTCTGCACAAATTAGAAAAGAAAAAGAGCAAATTAGAACATTTAGAAATTTTCGGATATGCATGTAAAAACGAATGTATGCTTCTTTAGAAATTTACAGTACAGTGAACACTCGCCAAGTAGAGCGTTTCCCTGCCAGTAGTAATTCCAATAAGAATGCGAACAAAATCTTCAATTCTTCAAAAAACCGAACTTTATTCGAAGTTAATAGATTAAAAAAGTTAAAATACTTAAGATATAAAGCGGCAAATTTAAATGGGAACTTTTAAATAATTCGAATAGGATAATATCCAATAAGAAAATTGCCTGAAAGTTAATTTTTTTTTTAATAAAAAATGTTTAAAAAGGAAACAGATTAGATATATATGAAGTTTATAGATTAAAAAAGTTCATATATCTAAGACACTAAAAAAAAGAAATCGGAACTTTTCCTCTTTCCAATAAGAACATCTCGAACATTCACTGTATTACAGTTAATACGAATGCGTAATCTATTCTAATTACAATTCCAGGAAATACTAAGTGAATAGCGTGAATCGACTGGCTGCACTGACTAGATTTAAAAATACATTGAAAAACCTGCAATACGACATTTAGAAAAGGCCCAAAGAATTTGTTCAAGTTTAATGACCAACACGAGCGCATCCCAAAGAGCATAGAAAATACCAACGAACTTTAGAAATCCAACTGTAAATGCCAAGCAGACACACACACACAGACAAACACTCACAGAGAGACAGATGGGGAGCGTGTAAGAGAGACAGCAGCAAATCAATACAACGAAATAGTGAGGCACTAGAAAGAAAAAGCATCATTCAGAGCTTAGATTACAGCATTTTCTGGCAGCTTTGGAATGCTGTTTTGGCTGTGGCCGAAAACTTGTTTACAAGACATCGCGACGTGCCAACGAGTGGGTCAAAATGCAGCTCTTTTACACTCATTTATATGCATATGTATATGTGTGCGTGCATTGACATTCACATTAAAGCTGAACAGCCGCTCCTGGACCAATGCTTGAGCGCCAAACTTTCACTTGTGCACGCAGCGGCGGCAAAGATGAAACAAGAGCAGCATAAAACAAGAGGAGACAGCCAGAGCCGAAGCTTTGAGCGTAGCCAGAAACTTGATCGCCCAACAAAAAGAAAGAAAGAAACAAAAAAAAAAACAGAAAAGAGAAGAGAAGAGAAGAGCTTGCAATTGCAGCGCCCTAGCGAGACGACAGGTGGCGTTGGAGCATCTTCTGTGACAGCTATGTGTATAACATTTACAACAGTTATACATATACATAACTGTATATATGTGCATATGTATGTAAAAGTTGTTTGTACTTTCTTTTGCTCTAGCATATGTGTGTGTGTGTGTTTATAGAGCTTCTGATTGTACGCAGACAGCCGCTCCATTGGAAATAGGACAGGGACACGACCCCCAAGCAAGGGTATTACAGTTGGGCGCACGAGTGGGCGGTATTTGTGCAACACACGCCCTAGAAAATGTCACAGATTTCTTGCCCCAATTGCTTAACTGCCTCCAACAAATGCATACATATATCGTATTTAGTAATGACAGCTTACCTTCTCCTTGGCACGTCCAGCGTGTTTTTGCATAGATTTAGCCAGCATTATGCCTTTATTTTCGGACATTCAATTAACGGCAGCAACAATAACAATTGAATTACTGAAGGAGCAGCAATCTGTATGTGTGTGTGTTGTGTGTTTGTGTGTGATATTTGTATATGCACTGCTGGTGTTCAGAAAATATAAAGATTTCTGATTTGGCACAATACACTGTGTGAAACGAGAAGAAAGAACTCTTTCCGTTTTTTTATTTTTTTTTGGGGAAATTTTAAATGCACATTTAACACACGACAGCGGGCCACAATTTGTATTTGTATAACGTTGCTATTTTTATGCGATTTGGCCGCGTTAGTAGCACTCGAAAGTCACGAAATAATGGCACGTAGGCGCGCGACTGCGACTTCAGGTGTGTCTTCGAACTTGACGCTGCTGCAGACGGAACGGGACTCATTTATTTATTTATAATTTATAATGTTTACACTCAAACAATGTCGATATTCGGTCGTGTATCGATAGTTTCTGACTATCAACGCGCCACCACACATGATCTCTGTTAAGCTTAACAGTGGTGGAGCAGCAAACGATACTTGACTGCAATCGATAAATCGATAGCGCATAACTCACCACTTTCAAGTGCTGCACAACACAGTTACATATATTGCAAGTATGGTCGAGCGACTTTTGACCAGGTAAACAAAGCTCTTGTATATCTTATTTATGACTAATACAGCTCAATTGTGATTAGGCCCTATGCTTCGAAGGGCGGCTGGCTATGCTTGCTATTGCCCACGGCCCTGATCACAAGCTATCTGCACACACAGACCGCGTCGCCGGCCTGTCCACCGACGGATGCAGTGCATCGGCTTCTGATTGCGGTCGCAATTGGCATGTGCCTGCGGACGCTTTTCTTTGTCTTGTGTTCCCACCTAAAGACTGGACCACTTATTGAGCGTGCGAGCAATCTGCTGCCCGGCATTGCCACCGGCCTCTGGCTGACGCTGCTCTTGGACATAACCTGGCCGTTGGCCCTGATCGCTGGCCTGCTACTCATCCGCCTGTACCAGCATGTCTATATTAGCGTGCTGCGCGGTCTGCCCCAGACATTCACCTTTGGCGAGGCGGCAATTCTGGTGCAGGGACTCGTGCTCTTCCTGCTCAACGCCAGTTTCCGGCTGTGCTCGAATCCGAAGCCCGCAACTGATTTTGGCCAATTGAATGCCATTATGCAGAGTGCCTTAGTCTCGTTGGTGTGCGCCTGCGTGCTGCTGGCGCTGCTGCCATTCCTGCGTCGGCCGCTGCCCTTCTACCTGCTGATGCTGCTGCTGCTCGCGGCCGTCACCTGCGCGCCCGTAACCCAGCCCTTGCCACTGATTGCCCTGCTCCAGTTCATGTTCAAGGAGCAGATCCGAGTGAGTGGAGCCTGTGTGATATACGAGATTTCAGTTAATTAAGATGCCTCTCTCTCTCTCGCTCTCTCTCTCTCTCTGTCTCTTCCCCGCCAGCTGTTCATCATAGCTTTCTATCTGCTACTCGTGGGCCTCACCTGCGCCACCGTCAGCTGGCAGCTGGGCAACACGACGCAGGCGAGCACGCGGATGCGCAAGATATTCCACTTGCTGATCGTGCTGGTCTTTGTGCCCGGCCTGATCTATCAGTGCGCCTTGCTGTACATTGCTACGGGCATTGCTCTGGCCGTATTCGTGGTGCTGGAGCTGCTGCGTCTGTTGCAGATGCCGCCGTTTGCGGACACACTGGCGCAGGCCTTTGACTCCTTCAAGGATGTCAAGGATGCGGGCCAGTTGGCGCTGACGCCCTTCTGCCTGTTGATTGGCTGCGCGCTGCCCATTTGGCTGACACCCTGCCCCTGCGCCGCCCAGGACAGTCCGCCACTATTGCTCCTATCCGGCGTACTCTCTGTGGGCGTGGGCGACACCGCCGCCAGCGTGCTGGGCTCCAAGTACGGACGCAACAAGTGGGCCAGTACGTAATTATACACAAGTGCAAGTGCCTGTTGATTGTAATCAGATTTAATTGCAGATTCCAGTCGCTCCCTGGAGGGCACCGTGGCCTTTGTGCTGTCCGTGCTGCTCTCCGTTTGGCTGCTGCAGCTGGGCGGAGTTCTGGTCATGAGCCAGGCCAAATGGTTCGCCACGCTGTTTGCGGCGCTCAACACGGCTTTGGTGGAGGCGTCTACCGATCAGGTGGACAATCTGGTGCTGCCGCTGGTCTTTTACATAATTGTTGGGTTAGCCTAAGCATAAAAGTGATATGTTTCTGAACATTCCAATTAAGCCAAAGATGTGAACAATATTTGTAAATGAAAAATACATTTTTTTTAACGTTGTACAACACTTGCGACCGCTGTTGCTTAACAGCTGCTACTCTAACAGTGCAGCTCTTATAATACTCTTACTTACGATCACTGTTAAATAGCATAACGTAAGTAACAGTGCTGCTTTGCAACGCCTAACATAACAGCCTTTATAAGAGCAGAAATGTTAAGCCACTTGACAAGTTTATAAGACTGTTATAAAATGCGCGCCTTATTTGAATTTGACTTCTTTATTAAATGCAATATTTTCATGCGCTTAAGACTTAAAAATATATATATATATATGGTTATATATAAATGTGTATAAAAATAGTGTAGCTACGCCTAAATATATATACATGTGTATAATTTTGAATATAATTAGTTGCATGTGGCATATAGCATTTATATAGGGTATACTCTATAGGGTATATGGTATATGCCCGACCATGAGTCTAGTCCTGAACTTTGTGTATCACATTTTAGACAGGATCGCAATCCTCGAGTTTCGTTTAACGGCAGTTGATTAACAATTACATTTAAGCTTGATAAACAATATTAAAAAAAATACATATATATATATAAAATAAAGGAACATTTTGGCAGAAGCAATTAAATGCTTCGCTTAGCTGGGAACTCAGCCGCATTCTACAAGGGCTCCTCCTGGAAATACTCATGCTCCAAGCAGGCCAGCGCAGTGGGACGCTTGTGAAGCTGATACGAGAGCATTTGCTGCGGGAGATAAATGCGAACGAGATTAACAAGTGGAGAAAGGGGCGAAGAGAGAGGTCGCTTACGTCCAGCAAATTGTCGGCGAATTTGCCGAGATCCGGACAGAAGTCGGAGGGTCGCTTGCGACTGCGTGGCGGAAAGTGTTCCCGCGAGATGGACACGCTCTTGGGCCATTGCTCCTCCGTGGGACGTCCCGTTAGTCTGCAACAGGACAGGCAAAATGGTTAACAGTTACAGTTAAGGAATGAGAAGGATCGATTGACGGCGGAACCCACTCGAATATGCGATCCAATTGATTCTTCTCGGAGTTGCCCGGAAAGAGGGGCTTGCGATTGAACATCTCGAATATGATGCAGGCCGCACTCCAGATGTCCACCGAGCTGTTGTAGCCCTGGGCGAGCAGCACCTCGGGCGCCCGATACCACAGGGTGACCACGACCGAGGTGAGTTTCATGTCCCGGCCATAGGTCTTGGCCAGGCCAAAATCGGCTATCTTTAGATGGCCCTGCGACGAGACGAGCAGATTTTGCGGCTTCAAATCGCGGTGAATGATGCGATGGGCGTGCAGAAAGTCCACTCCGGTCAATAGCTCACGCGACAGGCGCTGCAATTAATAAACAAATATGTAAATTGAAATTACACCAAATAAACTGTAGTTTATGCATTACCTGTATATTTGTGGGCGACATGCCGGAGGGTGGCAAAGCTTCTATTAAGTCGGATAAATCCTGCTCCAAGTGCTCGAAAACCAACAGAATCAACAATTTCCCATCGCGTTCCAAGAACTGGCATACGTCGAGCAGTCTGCGAAGAGGGGAAATTATAACATCTGTGGGTATGTGTGTGTGCAGTTAATGAACTGATCGAGTGTGCATGTGTGCGTTGAGCTGGCGCCATTAGACGCGCTGCGGGCATTTGGCGTACTACAAAAAACACTCCGCTCATACGAATTATGGAAATTTCTACAACACGTTCGATCAAGAGCATATACAGTGGAGAGCGCCAGTATGATTAACATAATTGCCCCTGTTTCAATTGGGGAGAGTCGCTTGCTAACATTCTGTTAGCCAACAGTTTTGCAGCACTGTTAAGTGAATTGCGAATTTTCTATGAATTTACTACAAATTTGAGAATTTTTATAAAATTAATTTGAATATGCATTTTAAATTGATTTAATTTTATTATTATTTTGCAACAGTTTAACTAATTTTTAAATTTGATTCGCAATGGGTTTTTTTCATTTTACGTGCAAAACTAAGCATTTTGAGCTCTAGCCCAAAAATACGGTAAAATGCTTAAGCGATTTGAACAGCGGCAAAGCTAACAGCTACCGCTGCGTCCGCTCTTTAACACTATGAGCCATTTACGCTATTCAATTTGCTCTTGATCGTAATATCGTAGCTGAGCGCCAAGCGAAATAACCAATGGCGCTTCGAGTGCCGAGCGACATTTAGTATTGAGAGAGTTTGAGTGGTTTATGCATGTAGTACTTAATGCCGCCGCAATGGTCGCTGCTGTATACGAATTTAGGTGCGTTTCAAAGTATTTTTGCAAAACCGCAACAACATGTTGGTATAAGTTAATTTGACTTATAAACAATGTTGTTTCTAGTTATGGGCAATTTTGCATTTATTGGGCATTGCAACAGTTAGCTGGCTAATTGCTGTCCTACTTCAATTTCCCCAAGGCAATAGATTAGCTGTTGGCTGTTGTTGCAAACAAAATTTGCGACGTCGTTATCAGCGGCCGCAGGGCAAGCCGGCGCCGCTTTGTATTTGACGTTTGGTATAACAATTTTATATGCATGTGGCATGTGCGCGCGTGTGTGTGTGTGTGTGTGTGTGTGTGTGTGTGTGTGGAATGCAATTTTGTAGGCGTGCTATGCAGCGACCGTTACAGTTACGCTTGTTTTAGCGCCTGCTCTTGGTCAGTTGAAGAGAAGCAGACAATAAAGAAGCGTGGAAAGCGAAAGATAAACACAAGCGAGCTGCTTGAGTGTGCGAAAATACACACACACACACACACACACGCACACCCACACAAGTCAATGCCATTGTCTGTAATCTGTGTTCGCCGCATAACGTAACGACTTTTTTTTTTTCTTTAAATTAGTTGGCAAATAGTGAGGCGCCACCAAGATAACATAAGTATGTATGCACTCGTATGCATGTGTGTGCTGGTACTCACTTGACAATATTCGCATGATCATATGTATTCAGCTGCTTAAGGAGCGAAATCTCTCGCAGCGTGGACGCACTCACTCCATTCTCGGTGAGTGCAATGCGCACCTTCTTAATGGCCACGAAGTGCCCGGTGATATTGTCGCGTGCCCGATAAACTGTGCCGTAGGCGCCTGTAAAGACAATGTTCATATGTATGTAAATGTAAAGTTTGCAATTGTGTTATACAGAAATATGTAGGTCACACACACACACACGCACACAAGCACGCATGCATATGGGGAATACAGTTATGCCTATCATGAGAAAAGAAAAGTAAAGTAAAAAGTAAATTGCAAACTCGAACAAAATGTTAATCAACAAAAGACCCAATGGAAAGACAAGGAGAGCATGCAGATAAGAACAAGTGAATTTATATATACAATTGTACAACTGTATATTTCGTACGAAATAGAAATTTCGCACACAAATATGTACATAGCAAATGATAGCTAGAGACCAAAACGAAAAGCGAAACGTCAAAAAAATAAAAAAAAACATGCAGTCAGCTGTGTTGATAAGCAACCGGCTGATTTTTGGCTGTGTGGGAGAGACAGAGAGAGAGAGAGACGGAGAGAGAGAGAGGGAGAGGGAGGCAGAGTGTGACATGCATCGATTCAAATTAGAAAGACAAAATTCTGTCACCGGAAATTTATCAGCGAGCGGGCGGGCGGGCCAGACAAGTTGGACACGGCATTCGGACAGATGGCACGGGGCGTGGGAGTTCTATTTCGGGTGACATTCACTTTCATTTAACATTTTCCGCATGTCTTGCCGATTCGGCAATTCGTCGAATTTCGGACTCAAAAATTTGTGTGTGACTGCTCGCAGCAAAAGCTACAAAAGTCAAGTACAAGGCCAGGTTTGCCACAATATACGTACATATGTATATAACAATAGAGTCGAAAAGAAGAAGCAGAAAGCAGAGTAACAAAAACAAAAACAAAAACACAACGAACAGAGGTAGAAATTCGCACTCGATCGACTATTTCGTCGACTCGTTTTTGCGTCTGCTCTTTCAATTGTCACCAAATTTTGCACAAAATCAAAGGCAACAATAACAGCAACAACAGCAACAACAATAACAGCAACAATAACAGCAACAGCGAACAGATATCTGAAAACACAAAAGCAAGAGGCAATAATTGAATGAATGCGAAATGGCAAAATGGCAAAAAACCAACAAAAGCTGATACATTTTTTTCAATGTCTTTTTTAGAAAAAAGTTGAACTTGTATTTTTTGTTTTTCTTTTTTCTTATTTCCATGGTACTCGAGAAGGGGAGAAGGGGGCTACTATCTACAAAATGTAACTTGATCTGTCACGCAGAGTGCGTGACCTGTTAAGCGCACGCTTAACCCATTGTTGCCCTCGCACTTGATGCATCCCTTCTGCAGGCACGCCCATGCGAAAACATGCCAAAATAAAATAAAAAACCAGTCATAATAACCAACATTAACATTCACCATGCGCACCTCTTAACTCTCCACACAAACTCGGCTCCGTGACGTAATTGATATATATGTGGAGATATTTCTTGGAAAAAAAAAAGATACACTATCAAGAGCTTGCGATATTTATTGACTTCCTATTCGAATATGGCACCTGTCGAGTTTATTTATTTGTTTTTGCTCATTTTTCGAACTGAAATGCACGTGGTTTCGAAAACTTTCCTGAAAGTATGCTATGAAAATTTAAAAAACCCTATTTACAAGACTGGGGAGTTGGTTCGGCAATTGCAACTACATTGAAAACCCAGTATTTCCCCTTGTCAGTGCATTCGATGCGGTTGTTAAAGTTGAAAACCAGCGCAATTGGTTCGGCTATAGCAGAAGGATAATGCCCTACATGTTGTTAGGGTCGAAACTGCAAACTGTTATACACACACACACACATACACATCAAAAGTCATTCAAACATTTACACATACCTGTGCCGATAATATCCAGTTCCTTATAATTTAACGGTACAATATCCTCCACACATTGCGGCTCGGATAGTTTTTGCCTTTTGCTTTGCGGTGCAGATGCCATTATACTTAATTATTTTCAATTTTTCTTTTGTTTTTTTTTTTTTTTTTGGGTGGAACTGCAAGAGCTAGAACAAATATTAAACTTAAAACACATTTGCAAAAACAGGCCAACCATGGGTTAATAGTTGCGCACAATTCTCAAGGTCAAGAATAGTGCACATGGCCATCGCAGGGTTAACATGTTAATAACATAACGAAATCGACGCGTGCAACAGGTGTTAATTTCGGCTAGCCTATGTTATGGCCATGCCTATGTTATGGCTATGCTTACGGCTGTTTCTATTTCTGAAGCTAATCTCGCTTGACACTATTCTCTGCTGCCTTCGCTGTTGTTGTTGCTGTTATTTATGTGAGTTGTAGTTGTTGTTGTTGTTGTAGCCGGTCAACGAACCCGTTTGAGTTATTTCGTTTGTTCTATTTGAACGTGTATATATATATATATATATTTTTTTTAATAAATTCATGTATTCTCTGGCCAGTTAACCATTTCAACTGTTATTGCTTTTGGCTTGCTTCTGAATTTGGCTTTGCTTTTGCTTTTACTGCATGCGAAGAGCCAGCACAAAGGCAACAAACATATTTGTTTCGTTCTTTTTTGCCATTTGTCAATTAATTCTAATCGCAGCCGAAAACAACAGTAACAATAATAATAACAACAACAGTAACAAGAGAGCAGCTACACGAAAGAGCAACAAATACATATATAGAAAAAAGTACAACAATTTATTGCTGCTAAATTTCGGTTCTTCTTCTCATCACAACGCGAACGACGTGCACATACCCTTTGTCATACAACGCGACAGAGAAGCGCGTGTCAAAGGAGAATCAACAAATTATAACAGTTAAAGTCAAAAAAGCACAAGCAAATGCAACTGTGTGTGTGTATACGTGTGCGTGTGCGTGTGCGCGTTTGTGTGCGTGCTGCTCCTGTGCCGACGCTGCGCAATGGAAAATAACTCGGCTAATATACTCTCACAATTTGTCGTTGCGATTACGTGTGTGCGAATTATAAATATTAGTTAAATATTAAAATGTGTTTTGTGTTTGTCAAGCAACCGAATAGCAGCAACAATAAACGCACGGAACATGCTTAGCTATATAATATAATAATTGTACATCGAAATGTATGTACATACATATGTACTTGTTGTTTGTTTCTTTCTATGTGTGTGTGTGTGTGTGTGTGTACACTTTTACGCACACAGGCAAACACAGACGCGATCGGTAAAATTATTCTTTGCCGACGAAAAAAAAAATAAATGCTACCACTTTAACCGCAGTAAAAAAAACGGCAGTAAAAACACGACGATCACGATTAATCAACTAGTGAGAGATACCGGCACCTGCACCTGTATTAAACACTGTATTTTTTAAATAAAAATAAAGATTTGGCCACTAACAATTTTTGTAACAAAGTGAATAAGCAAGCAAGCGCAATAACAGCACTCAAATAGCACTCACACCGCATTTACGATATTCATCTTGCGACAAGAGATCATCAAATTGTCTGCCCCGTGTTATCGCTCTCTTAGAATGTTAACATTAACAGAGGCCAGAGGTGAGTTTTCGTTAACGGTTAGCGCATGTACAAATTCAAAAAAAAAAAAACTGGTACTTTATTCAGTAGACCTTTTTGGGTACTTTTTTATATTTTTTTCCCCGTATGATATTAATTAAAATGTGCAAATACTATGCATATTTATTTCGGTTATAGAAACATATGCACTATCACATTTATTTGGCTAGTATTCATTTTTTTTTGCAATACCATACATTAATTGCAGCTGCGATTGGCCAATGTTATTTTACAGGCTGAATTAATTTATAAAAAGGTAAACAACAAATTTCCCTTGTTTGAACAATTTCGCGGGCAGCGCACTTCCAACGGGTTTGACATCGCACTGCAGCGAACATCAAACCGGTTGGAAGCTGCGTGCAGCTAACTTCAAGCCAAGACAAACAGGCTTGCTGCCAACTTCACGTGTGCGCAGCGTTGCCACCTAATTGATGCAGGTCCGCGAAATTCAAAATATAAACTTTTCCACAATGCGATGTTAATGTTGTGCTTAATTGAATTTGGACAACAACCGACTTGATGTATGTGTTTGCTTTTATTAGCAGTATGTTTTTAATTAAGGAAAAATCGGCACACCAGCCTTAAATTTCCATCATTAAAACATTGTGACGAGCTCTCAAGTGTTAATTAAACGCCTTGCTGTGACGTACACGGCGACAAAAAAAAACAAACAACAAGCAACAATGTGAGAAGTGCTAATGTAAATAAATACGACATACCTAGACCATTTGCTAAGGATTACTGACATCAATTTGAGGCTGCGTTTAGCTGTTAAAACAATTAATCAATGGCTCTTTCCACATCTCAATTATCGAACCGTGAAGAGTTCAAGCCGTTTACGTATTATGTTTTCCTTAATGAATCATTTGCGATTCATATGAGTCACAGGGTAGCACAGCAACCCGGGCAGGCCCTGGTGAAAATTGCTTAGCGCCCATCCGGCGGTGCCAGTCACAGCCCCAACCTCAGTCCCAGTTCCGAGTTCCACATTCACATGCACATAAATCTCTGTTTAGCACCTCTTGACGGAAGCAGCGCGTATCCCAGCCCATATTTCTATCAATTAGTTGGGCGAAATGATGCTGATGCCAAAGATAAATGCCAGAGAAATGCAATGTCTCATCAACAAATGGTGCTAATTGCAGTTCTCAAGAACTTTACTCAAATCATTTGGATGACAAATGGCCTGTTACAAATGCAGGCCGATTTACAGGGTATTGTGTAGTTGTTTTTTTTTTTTTTTTTCGATTTGCTTATCTTTTGCTCTTACTCTTTGACATTTGTTTGTTTTAACTGTGTTTGTCTGAAAACCGGCTCTGGCTGGAAATTAATTAAAAATCAATTAAATTAAATTTATTTAACAAATAAACGTAAAAGAAGCGCTGGCATTTGCGACAGCGCCGTGTTGACAATTTTCTGTGTGTGCAGCACAAATCAAATCAAATGAACTCAAATATGTTTGAATTGGTTCAGACAACTGTCAATCGTATTGACAACAAGTTTTTATTCGATTCGCCTCGCCTCGCCTCGGTTTGTTTTGATTTGAATTGTTTTTTGTTTTGGCCGCATCACGTGAGCATTTCATCTGCGCAAATCGAACTGGAAAAGTCTGCAGAATATGCGCCCAAAGGGAGCATTCAACTTGGCCCAAATCTCAACTTGCCGCCTCGCTGACTTGTCTCAGCTTCTTTTGTCCCAAATAATATGCTCAAGTTGGCTGACCTTCGGCAATGTTTAAGCGTTAAGCTTGAGAGATCGGTTTCAAGAGCGCGACACGCAACATCCACATTTCGTATGTTGACAGTTTTCCGAGCGGATTCAATTTGCCTAATGAGCTCGTCTACATAAGAATGCGCCCAGTTATTTAAATGGGCTTTCCGATTCGGAAGCCGATTAGCTTTAACTCTAGCTGCCAGCTGCCAGTTGTTGGCTTCCGTATTGTTTCAGACGCCACGCCTTAATCCTGTCCAGAGCCATCAGCTTTGCTTTGTCATGGAAAGATTTAAATGTACGTAATGCGCAAAGCAAACAAAATCGTTTGAATGCCAGCAAAACAAGCACAAGAGCTGCTAGAAAGTGCCCAGCCGCAGATCTCTCGAGCCAAGAGCAACATCTTCAAGTCCAAGCATAGTTTTTTGCCTCCACTTGGCTGTCCCGGGCTGAGCCCCTGCTGTGGGTGCTCCGGCAGCTCCTTGGCCACAGTTCGTGACATCGGCAGCACTTAACACCAGCAACCAGTCAACAACAACAAGAAGAGCAGCCGCAGCAGAAACCCGTTCGTCTGCGTCATGGGGCGGTGCGAGCGGGTCTGCTGCTGCTGCTGCTGCTACGGCTGCTACGGCTGAGGGGCAGGCGGGGGGGCTGGTTCGTGTGCTTTTGGCCAGATATAAAAGTGAATTTGTGACAAATATTCTGAACAGTTAGTGCGCACGCTCAGCAGCGACAACAGCCACACAGTCCATGCAAAACCAAAAATAATATAAACTTTCTCAGACGTCGCGTCCAGCAAATCGTGTGATAAACCCGAATCCGAGCATTAATAACATTACGACTTTTGTGCTATAAAATCAAATAATAAATTCAATCAAATATTTTTAAGTAAAACGAATTATAATACCGAACGTGTGTGCGCAATTGAAGCAACAATTGTGACAATCGCAGGATTAAAGCAGCTTTTCGCATTAATTTATAACAAATTCACACACACACACACACACACACACACGAAACATGTGCCCATTTAAACAACAAGTGAGTATATAAATTAGAATTTAAAAATTTAATTAAATTAAATATTATTTAGAGTCCGAATTTGTTTAATAAACGTGTTTAGTTTATTAACATTTCGCAAAAAAACGTATACAAAAAAAAAAGAGAGAACAAAATTTACTTTTTCTATAAAAATTTCAAAATTTGCAGCGTGCTCTGATTTTACTTAAAGTCATTTTTATGTTTTTTATTTGGTTTTATTTTTGTGGCTTTACAAGGTCAAAAACAGTATTAAATTTTAAATTATTCTAATTCTGAGCACGCTGTCGAATATTGTAAAAGATTCGTCTCGGTTTTTGGTTCATAAGGAAGTCTGAGCATAGCTCATAAAACTGTTTTTCTCTTCTTTTTTTTGTTAACATCTACATTATCTACTTTTGTGCATATATCTATCTACAGATATGTATCTACAAATGTGCACATTTCTAACTACAGATATGTATCTACAAATGTGCATATATCTATCTATATAAATGTATCTACAAATGTGCACATATCTATCTACAGATATGTATCTAGAATTGTGCACATATCTATCTACAGATATGTATCTACAAATGTTCATATATCTATCTATATAAATGTATCTACAAATGTACATATATCTATCTTTATAAATGTATCTACAAATGTGCACATATCTATCTACAGACATGTATCTACAAATGTTCATATATCTATCTACAGATATGTATCTACAAATATGCATATATCTTTCTATATGAATGTATCTACAAATGTGCACATATCTATCTAGATATGTTTGTATCGAGATCTGTACATATATGTATCTACAAATGTATCTACATACGTGTCTCTACATACATGTATCTGCAGCCAGCCATTCAATATAATTAGCTGAAAAATCCTGCTGTAAGCCTGCAGAGCAATGCAGCTTCGGGCTGCTAGACCAGCGAATGCCCTATACGCACCATAAATAAAAAATATGAAGGCATAGATCATACAGATGCTAGGCTCTATACATATATAGACATCTACCTAACTTATATACCCAAATTATTCACACAGCGCATAAAGTACATCAAGATTTAGATAATTTATAGATATCTAGCTATCTTTTTAAATAACCCTTCATGTGAAGTATATGTAGATCCTATAGATACTATGTCTTACAAAATATATAGATAGATACTAGGAATCAAATGTAGATACTTGCCATCCTTATATAGATACTAGTCGTAGATCATATAGATACTAGGCCTTATATTTATTTAGATATCTGACAGGGTATTCACAGAGCATAAAACAAGTGTTATACATCTTATGGGTTAGCCCTGAGCCACTAAAGCGCAACCGGTTACAGATACAGATACAAAGATACAAAGCTACCCGAGATGCACAGCTACAGATACTTTATTTATGTCTCGGCATCTTTTAGTTTATTTCAGTTTTCTCCTTCTGCAGCAGTTAGCATATTTCACCAGAAAATTCAATTAATTCGCGCTGTAAATTTACATAATTAGCCGCAAAAGATTTGTCCACGTTCGCAGCTCAAAATTTGCGGTTATCAATGAAGCTATTTATGCAGATACATTTCGAGTTGAGGCGTGAATCAGCGACGCGACAGTTTTATATAACTCTTATCCATTGCGGTTTACGCACGCAAAGTAGCTAATTTTGGGTTAATTTTTTTTTGTTTGATTAGACTTTAGCATATAGACATAGAGATATATAGATATCTAGATATGGATATATGTAAATGTGGCTGGATTAGCCGCAAGCTGAGCTGTCATTGAACGTCGGCTGGCGCGTTCACCTACACCGAAAGCTGGTTTGTCGATTTGTCGATAGATATGATCATCCGGTTTTGGGTTTTGTTTAGTCTTTAATTTGTCCTCTAAGAATAAGACTAATTTTATTAACACAAAATCGAAATGTGATACATAAATTAAAGTCTCTCCTCAATGGCCTTTCGCTCGCAACGTGCATCCGGCTTGGGCACAGCCAAGGGCGCAGCATATTTAAATGAAATAAGCTCCAAATAAGGGTTGGGTACACCACCTGCCACCAGGTGTATTATCATTATAGTAATTATAGACCCGCCTTGCCCAGTGGCAGACAGGCAGACAGGCGGCATGCGATCATGCTCATCTTAATCATAGATCGGAGATCGGAGTTGCGCTCTGGACGTGATCATGAATATTTTACGTGCGACTATAAATTAAATTTGATTGCGATTATATCATTGATATTTGTTATTTCATTTAAATTAATTATTGTATGCTAATTCAAAGCATAAGCTTTGCCGCTTGCGTCTGTGTTTTTTTTTTTTTTTTTGTTCGCTGTCGCGGACTGGTTCTAAAAGTTTGCAGAACGCGACGCTGGGTGCTCTCTGGGCGGCCTCCAAGCGCTATTCACACCTTCCAACATTTGCTTTGTTTTCTGATTGATTTTTGTTGGTTTCATTTTTTTATTTCATATTTTTTTCTTTCTGCCATTTCCGCAGTTTTACACCCTGGCTGTGACCCTGGGCTTGGTCTGCCTGGCAACGGCTATGCCACAAAATCCACAGCAGCTGCAGGATGGGCCGCACACGCTGCTGGACATCGAGACGCCCAATCAGTTCAGCTACAACTCGCCGCTGGCCCAGCCGGACAGTCTGCGCAACAAGCCGTATTTCGATTTCCTGAGCACGCTCTATGCCCACGACTCGGCCAAGACGGACCTGTTTCGCAATCGGCCGCAACGCGATCTACAGACACAAACACAGACACAGTCACAGTCCCAGCCAGAGCCGGAGCTGAAGGCGCAGGCGCTGTCGCTGACGCCCGCCGAGGAGCCGAAGAGTCATCGCCGGGATCGCAAGCGTCGCGCGATCGTGTTCCGTCCGCTGTTCGTCTATCAGCAGCGCGAGATTCGCAAGAAGGAGATTGCCGCCAGGCGACGCAGCGATGAGATTAGCCGTCGCAACTACAACGAGTACTACAAGCGAGTGTAGTTGCGTCTCCATCGAATCCGATCTTAAATCTAATCAACAACCATGCGCAATAATCATGCCACAATGAGCAATGGCTATGGCTGTCACTGGTCTTCTACAGGGTCCTCTCTAGCACTTAGCTTTTTTTTATTATTGTGTTTTAGCCATAAGTTAGCCCAGCACAACGCACTGCAGACACGAACACGAACACGACACTCGACACTCGACTAACTATCTATCTATTATAATCTATATATTATTATAATTATATACACACACATAACACATATATTCACCCACTCACACACACACACACACACACGCCCATGCATACACACATCCCTCCTAACTATGTTAAGTAATCGTATCCCTAAATTAATATGCATGTATATTATATTTGTTAACTGATTTTTATAAATTTGTTACTATTAAAGCTAACAAAAGTTAAAACCGATCAACTGACTTTTACTTAAAGTGCAACTCTTTGTTTATTAACTCTTGAAAGTTTTTTAAAATCGATTCCTAATTATTTATCAATAAGAATATCTTCAACATAGAAGACGGATGTTGTTAAGAAGTTGCTCAAATAATATCAGATATTTTGCCCCACCGTCAAGTTAACCATAAAAAGTCTGCATCTTTAAGAGATCTTTGTAAGATAAAGTATATGACATCTATATATATATATATATATATATATCTTTTCAGCTTAGATACTAGTATGCGCAACGGGCAGAAGGACAGATCCAGATTAAGAACGTATATGCCTTAAACGGCTTTCATTCGCCCCAGACAATGTTCTCAATCCAGTCCGTGTAGAGATGCACCTTGGTATAGACACTGGGAAATTTGTAATTGCCACAGATGACTCCGTACGAGGTGACGCCAATCACCTGCTTGAGGCAATGGTAGCTCGGATGCTGCACGAAAATGGGTCCGCCGGAGTCGCCATTGCAAGTGTCCGCATTGCTGTTGGCTGATCCGGAGCCGGCACAGAACTGAGTGCGGGATATAATGCGGCTCTCGAGTCGCTCGCTGCACACTCTATCGCTGTAGCGCTGCAGACCCACGGTCAGTAGATGCGTTGACTTTTGGCCAGAGTTCTGGGTGTGGCCCCAGCCAGCTGCATTCAGATCGAAGTGCTCATCGCCGCTGGCGGGCGGCAGGCAGGCGGGTGCCACATGCTCATTCAGGGTGGCATTCCTGTCCAGCTCGAGCAGAGCAATGTCATTGATGCGGGCACCGTTGTCATCCTCTGCGTAAGCCGGATGCACCACATAGTTAACCAACTGAAAGTCCTGCGGCTGCGCATCATCCGTGGTGCTATTGTAATCCAATTCGCCCAGGCGTACAACATATTTGGGTGAACTAAAATTGGGATCCAGACGTTGCGCCTTCGTCTCTGTGGTCTCCAGGCAATGGGCAGCGGTCATCACAAACTTTGGATGGATCAGTGTGCCGCCACAGTCCCAGCTAATGGTGGAAACGCCAGGCTGCCTTGTGCCCAGCAGCGCCATAAAGGGAAACTCACGACCCTTCGCCTTGGTGCCGCCCACAATGAGGGGCGTGGAACGGCACGAGGATCTGATATCATTATAACGCCGGCACTCTAAAGATAAGCCAAATTTCGTTCAATTGCAATGTAAATCTCTGACAATTTTCTTACCCTTTTCGAATAGTCTTCGCGTATCCGCAATCGTTTGCTGCCTTTGCTGGGCATTCAGTGGAAGAGGACAGCAGACAATGTCGTTGAACTCATCGCAGTATTTGACATTATTGGGTCCGATCAGATGCTGATTATAGAAGATCACCGGACACTCGGTTGAGGTAAACTCTCTGCACTCGCCGGTGCCATTGTCGCAGTACTCGCCCAGCACTCCGCCCCACGAAGCCGAAAATAAAATAATTGATAAAATTGTACAGATCGTGCTCATTGCGTCCGGCGGCTGATGCGTTCCAGCCAAAACCTGATTGAAGAGCCGTTGGTAAATACACAAATAAAACTGAAATGACCGCTTACATACTTGCGTTCCGTTCACTCTCAGTTTCTTTTTGGTTTGTTTTTTTTTTTTTGTCTTATCTCGAAGCGATCTGAAATACGCACTTGAATTATACGTCTGATGTGTCAAGGTCAGATTATACTGAACTTTAACGATTGTTGATTATATTGTAAACATATTTTGAATGCAATTATTACCTACATATCAACTTTTGGCATATGCTAAAAGTGTTTAATTTCTTTGGCATCGATTGCAAAAGCCAATATACTTTCCCGTACACATTTAAATATATTTTTGTATGCAATCAATCTCACTAAATTCACAAATTGTTCGAATTTTATTAAATTCAACAGCCGCTAACAAGAAATTTCTTTTGCTGGCCGATAGTTATTTTCAAAATTAAACTTCTAATGTGCACTATGCATCGAGCATTCCAATTTTGGCGCAAAAAACATGCACAATGACATCATCTTATCGAATATGTTAAGTTGTAAGATGTATCGAAAGCAGCATATGGGGCTCAATCCTGTACAAATTTTTGTACGGTGGTATTTTTATCGTTATCGGAAATGGTCAAAATGCGATGTTTTCAGCACATCACTAGTTCTTCTATGTACCTCGACGCTGAATGGTGTGTTCGCGCACACTTTTCTGCAAAAAAATAATTTTAAGTGCAGAAATAGGCGAAAATACTGAAGAAACATTGCATTCGCGATTACAGCACAATTTCTGCAACGCGCCAACACTGTTTTCACGCACGGATGCATATTTGTGATGTGGATATTTTGTGATTAAAAATTTTCCCCATCTGAGGTACGAAAAAAAAAAAATGGTTGAAAAAAATTTCCGCCCAACAAAGAACTGACGCGGACGTAGAAGCAGCAGACATGTATATATATAGCCGTCTCGCTCTACCGTCGGTCATTCGATTAGCATGTTTGAAAAGTGCCGCAACGAGCAACTTTAAACGAACCTAAAATAAACGTGCTGCTGCGAAAAAATAATTTTATACATAATGGCCAATTGCAAAAAGTATATTTTCTTGAAACGCGCGTGTGTGTATAACAAAAAAAAAGGAAGAGCAGCCATTTGCAATGCAGAGTTGCAAATCGATTGCATTTGGCAGGGATGCAAGAGGCGGCCGTGATAAGCGATACGCATTAATATCACTGAAAAAGTTCTAAATGTAATGATTACGCAGCAGAAACAGTGTAAAGACACTAGCTGTACATTTGTGGGTTTAATTACGGCTAACATATATATGTGCCTACATATATGCTTCCCAGGGCTGCAAAATGTGCGCTGTCAATCGCAACACGCTATAAATTTGTGGCGACTGTAATGTTCTTTTTTCCCGCCTTTTTTTTCAGATGTCTCAAACATGAATGAAGGTAATTCAGCAGGAGGGGGGCATGAAGGGCTAAGCCCGGCCCCTCCTGCTGTGTCAGACCGTGTAACGTTACAATCAACGGAAAAATCAGTTACAACGCCAAAATCAACAGCCTCAACAGCTCATAACAACAATAAATCATCATCAGCAGTAGCAACAACGCAGCAGCAACAGAAACCCAGCAAACAACAACAACAACAGCAGCAGCTGCTCAGTGCGCAGCTGCCTGTGCCGCTGTCGAACTTGTCGACAGAGGCAACGGCAGCAGCAACGCCAGCAGCAGCTTCCACATACTCCAATACAGCAACAGCAGAAACCTCCGCCTCCGTCTCAGATTCCACAGCGCCACCCCAGGCCAAACGTCAGCGTTTAGAAGATACGGAAACAAGAGGCGAGGCCGCCAGCGATAGCAAAAACAGCAACATTGTTGGCGCTGTAAGCAGCAACATCGTTGGCTCATTGCTGCCAGCGTCGGTTGTGGCCAGCAGCGAAGTTGGTGGGGCCATTTCAACGGCACTGCAGGACTTAAATGCGCTCAGGAAGCGCGTACTCCAACAGAAATATCAAATTTTGCGTAATCTTAAGGAAAGGTAAATATGTCTGGTATAAGATTATATATTGAAAAGTGCTTACATTTGTGTTTCAATTTACAGACATCTTGAAAATGTGTCCGAATACTTTTATTTACAAAACGGTGGCAGTATGATGGACTACCCCGCGTGGCGTAAAAAGACACCAACACCGCAGTTCATCAGCTACAGCAATGCGAATCGTATCGAGCAGCTGATACTCGAAGAAAAGCCAAGCACATCCGCCGCCGCAGCAGCAGCCGCTGTGGCCCAAGGACACAGAACAACACAACAACAAACTCCAAATTCGGATTCGGTTGTTAGCAACAGTAACAGCAGCAGTAGCATCAGCTCTGCAACAGCAACAACAACTACAGGGACAACGGGCATACAGTTAGAGGCGGATAACACCACACAACAAACGGTAAGCATCTAAGGAATAAAGACCTTAAATATAGTAGAGACTACATTTGGAAATGTGTATCAGATTGATAGCTAGCTTCTTAAGCATCATTGTGTACAAAGTTCTTAAACAATTAAATCTGTTTTAGCAGAACACGCAATCTCTATTGCCAGCAAAGTCTGGTAGTAATACTACATCAGCAGCGGCAACAGCAGCGTCAAGTCCAAGCAGTAGTGGATCAACAACTACAACCACAACTGGAGCATTGTCTACAACTAACAGCTTAGTGGAGGCGAGCGGTAATGCATTGCCACCGGAGGCGGAAATAAAGATACCAGCTGTTGGTGCGACGCCAGTTGCCGTCTCCACGAAGCTACCCGCCGCCGTAGTACAGTTGACGCAGCAAGGTAAGCTAAACTTGTTCAGGATTATAACTCTTAAGCAGGATTCAAACTCTCTTGATATCTCGTATCTACCATTGTTATTATTATGTGTTTGGTTGTATTTTTGTTTTTGTGTTTCTTGTTTTTCAAAATTATTGTACATTTGAAAAAAATAACAATGCCAAAATTCATACAATGACAAAAAAAAAACAAACTTGCATACAACTAAGAAGAAAAATAATCTGCTAAATGCTACCGAATCCCCCAAGAAATAGTACGCGTCCAGAAAAACTATCCAGCAACTGTAAAAGTACAACGCACGCCCTGCACAATACTATAAAAGTTGTTGTCTCGCCCAAGCAAAATTATAAAAACACTAGCAAGAAACCTATAAAATGCTCTACTAATAAGTATGTAACAGCAACAAACACGAATTTAATTTATTTGACCCACACACGCAAGAGAATACTAAAACTATTTACATGTATGCATATATATAACTACATTTACATATTCTTTCAATATAAATTAATTTATTGTATTGCTGTACATCATTTGATTTACGATTTTCAACTGTTTTCTGTTAACACTTCTTTGGTTAAGTTCTTCATTTTTTTACAAAACATTCTATCACATTTGTTACTGCCGCCTCCTAACGCACACCTCAACTCTCTTTCTCAACTCACCATCAAATTGTATCGTTATTATATAGGTCACATACCCGGTAGACCTCTAGGAGGTCGTCACGGTATGGTCTTCGGTCAAATACCCGCGCCTCCTGCCGTAGGAAATTCTTCTGTACCTTTGGTGCCAGGTGCTTATCGTTCGCAACAAATTAAAAAACCAAACAAAACAAAATCTCAATTTCATTTATAAGTCCTTCTACTTGTTTTTAAATATTGAAGTATTTTCATATTTTTCATTTTGTTGTTGCCGCCAATTAAAAGCGTAGTGCATTTGCCTTATACTATATATACATTACATTCGATGTGCCTAATATATTATATTATACCAAAGATTTATCTTATCATTTCTCTAGAATTGGTGTTTTTATAAATCTTGTTTATATATATATTTATTTCCTGGTAAAATGCTTACGAATTATTTGTCTTTCCATCTTATTCAATTGAATGTAAAATAGTGTTTTGTTTTCGGTTTGCAAAATTATGCATAGCTTATATTTGACTTGATTTTTGACTTTTTAAAGTTGGCATCAGCATCAGAAAATTTGAACTATTTAGGAAATAGATCTCTTACATTTACCATAACATTTTTTGATTCGGCACGCCGAAGTAATTCATGCTTTCAATCGATTCTTAACTAGTTATATTTTTGGCTCGTTTTAAGATATTTTTGGCTGCACCTAAAAGCGTTTTCTTGTACGCCAACTCAATGCGCTTGAAAATCGTAGCTGTGTGCTAGAGCAAAGCTTAGTTGCAGGTGACTTTTTGTACTTCAAATAAGAGTCCATAACGCTGAGTACATTTCCAGATTAAATTTAAGTAGGTAGATATATGATATAAGCACCTAAAAGCGTTTTCTTGATTGCTTTTTAAACGCGCCTGAAAATCGTAGCTGTGTGCTAGAGCAATTGCTGCGGTTGCAAGTGTCTTGATGCCAGTTAATGCATCAACTACATTAACACCTCGCACAAGCTTTTTATAAGATAGATTATCAGAAATTCCTTCCCTGCAAGTGCACTCTGTGTCACATTGATTTGCCACATGTGATGACAATTTGTTAACTTGCCAGATCAAACCAAAGCTGCGTTTATCCATGTGATTGTGTCCTTAAGACTAGTTGCATTGAAAACGCGCCTTACACTCCTTTAAAATAATGTTAAGGGCTATCATTCCTTATTTCCAGATTAGTTTTAAATATAATAAAACACCTTAAAACGATTTGGCTCTACTTTTATATCCAATGTAATTCATCCTTGCAAGAGCACTCTGTATCACATAAAATTTTTATAACCTCATGTGAGACAATTTAAAACCTTGCTAGATTAAATTAAAGCTGCGATTTATCCATGTGATCGGGTACTTAAAACGATTCACATTGAAAACGCGCCTTACACTAGTTTACATTTTAGAGGTTTGTTAGGGATTTGCATTCTTCCACTTACATTTAGAGTTAGGAGTTTTGCATGCAGTTGACTTAGTTTTTTGCCTATTTTAATTTCCCCTTACCTCGTTTAGAAAACATTTGAATACATAAACTATATTACACTTACTGATTCGCAAGAAATATGGTTCAATTAATTGATTGATTGATTGGAACGTTTTATTTTATTTGTTACTTAACTATTATCGCTTCAATATGGTAGCGTGTGTTTGGCAATGCAATTTTTCAGCATGCAAGTTGGCTAAGAGCTTTCTTGGAATATCTTGGAACCATTCCTGACTAACTTCTTGTATCATTTTTGTTTACCTCAAGGTGGCACGCCTCTGGTGCCGTGCAGTAGCTCCGCGGGTTCAACGGCGCTGCGTCGTCCAAATTCGCAACAGAATGCAACAGGAGCAGCGACTGGAGCAGCGGGTGGGGCAATTGGCGGATCGACGCCAACGCCGCTGTACACGGGTGGGGCCAACGGTGCGGCTGCGAGCGGTGGTGGTCTGACGCCCTGCACGCCTGGTGGCAGCAGTGGAAGTCTGTTGAGTCCACTGGCGGCTAGTACAGGCACATCCAACAGTGCGCAGGAGTTTTCGTTTAAGGCCAAGCAGGAGGTGTACGTAATGCAGCGTATATCCGAACTACAACGAGAGGGATTATGGACTGAACGGCGTTTGCCTAAGCTGCAGGAGCCCAGCCGCCCCAAGGCGCACTGGGACTATCTGCTCGAGGAGATGGTTTGGCTGGCAGCTGATTTTGCGCAGGAGCGCAAATGGAAAAAGAATGCAGCCAAGAAATGCGCCAAAATGGTGCAAAAGTATTTCCAAGACAAGGCAAATGCGGCACAACGGGCCGAGAAGGCGCAAGAGCTGCATTTGAAACGCGTCGCCTCCTTCATAGCTCGCGAGGTGAAGAGCTTCTGGTCAAACGTGGAGAAACTGGTCGAATATAAACACCAAACAAAAATCGAGGAGAAACGCAAACAGGCGCTCGATCAGCATCTCAGTTTCATAGTCGATCAAACAGAGAAGTTCTCACAGCAGCTGGCCGAAGGCATGAATAAAAGTGTTGCCGAAACGCCCAGTCTGACATCCAGTCGCTTAACCTCACCCAAGCGCGAGTCCGATGGTGAGTTAAGATCAATTTTCGTAATTTATAATATTATGTGGGGTCCAGAAATGTTTCTACCTAGAACAGAATGTGTTTCAGATAATATATTATAAGATAATTTATAATTGCAAGTTCAACAGGGTTTTATGAAAAAGGAATCAAAGATATTTAAGAAAATCAGAAACATTTGAAACATCTTAAGCACATGATGAGACACTTGAACTGAAACGTTGTTGTGGTCTATTTTTGAACACTTCGATGTTAACAAGGGATGGTCGCATTTGCGAGGCATTTGTCTGATGCATTTAGAAACAACATATTTTACGTTAGGTTAGAATATGAAAAACCTACTTTAAACTGTGCTTGCATAATTTCTTTCACAGACGAGTTTAGGCCAGAGTCTGGCTCTGAGGATGATGAAGAGACAATTGCCAAGGCCGAGGAAGAAGCAGCCGATGTCAATGAGGAGGTCAAAGCGCTGGCAAAAGAATCTCAAATGGACTTTGATGATTTTCTCAACGATTTGCCACCCGGCTACTTGGAGAATCGTGATAAGCTCCTGCTAGAGGAACAGAGCTCAACGAAAGGCGCTGCTTCCGCTAGTGGGGCCGATGCTGCCGATGGTGGAGACGACAGCGATGATAGCGAATTTCAGGCAAAGGAAGCCAGCGATGATGATGAGAACACCATCAGCAAGCAGGAGGAGGCAGAGCAGGAAATTGATCACCAGAAGGAGATCGATGAACTGGAAGCGGACAATGATTTGACCGTTGAGCAGCTGCTAGAGAAATACCACTCGGGCAAAATAGATGATCCGCCCAGCGCCAAGAGACGCAAAATAGCTGTGGAGACCTCAGAGCAAGATTCGGATGATGATTCAACTGCGATTGAAGATTCAACGGATGGCAGTGAAGTGGAAGCTAGTGATGAAGAAGATGAAGATCTCTCTACCATCAAGACCGATACAGACCAGGAGGAGGCGGAGCAAGAGGATGGTCTCAAAAGTCTACTAGCCGATGCCGATGGCTCTGGCGTAGGTGGCGCGAGTGCTGCGGCTGCTGTTGGCAGCAAAGACAACAAGGATGACATGTTGAACGATGCTGCCGCACTCGCAGAAAGTCTGCAGCCCAAGGGCAACACGCTATCCTCCACAAATGTGGTGACGCCTGTGCCATTCCTGCTGAAGCATACGCTGCGCGAGTACCAGCACATTGGACTCGACTGGCTGGTCACGATGAACGAGCGCAAACTCAACGGCATACTCGCCGACGAGATGGGCTTGGGCAAGACAATACAAACGATTGCACTACTGGCGCATTTGGCCTGCGCCAAGGGCAATTGGGGTCCCCATTTGATTGTGGTACCATCATCTGTGATGCTGAATTGGGAAATGGAGTTCAAGAAATGGTGTCCCGGCTTCAAAATACTCACCTACTACGGCACCCAAAAGGAGCGCAAACTAAAGCGTGTCGGCTGGACGAAACCCAATGCGTTTCACGTCTGCATTACCTCCTACAAGCTGGTCGTTCAGGATCAACAAAGTTTTCGGCGCAAAAAGTGGAAATATCTCATTCTAGACGAGGCGCAAAACATTAAAAATTTCAAGTCACAGCGTTGGCAACTGCTGCTCAACTTTTCCACCGAAAGGTCAGTAATTGATTTGTTAATTGAATGCCATTACACGTTGTTGCAATTGCCCTTGCGCTAGCCAGCACCAAAATCAGTAACCAAGCGATTGCTAAACTAGCTTGGCGACTACGCTTGGGTGCTAAAATTAAAACACGCTATAATGCCGCATGTATTTAAAGAGCATACTAACCCATTGGAATGCTTGTGGCCTTGTTTTGAGACAAGTTTTAATTATTTATTTGTAACTTTTTTTATTTATTGCACTAGATATTATTTATGAGTTTCCATTGAAATTGAATGTTTTGTTTGAATAACAAGTTAAACTTGTGTTAATTATATTCTTAAAGTTGCAGTTTTTGTTTTAAAATTTTATTCAACTATTTAAAAGCATTTTTTTTTTGTTTAACAAATAATAAATGGCTAATATGTAATATTTTCTATCTTCCATAAACAACAGACGATTGCTTTTGACAGGCACGCCGCTGCAGAACGATCTAATGGAGCTCTGGTCACTGATGCACTTTCTAATGCCGTATGTGTTCTCCTCGCATCGCGAGTTTAAGGAATGGTTCTCCAATCCCATGACTGGCATGATCGAAGGCAACATGGAGTACAACGAAACGTTAATTGCCCGACTACACAAGGTAAATATAGTTTTTTTTATATGTATAGTTAAGTATTTTCTGGGAGTAGCACCTAAAAGCGTTTTCTTGTACGCCAACTCAATGCGCTTGAAAATCGTAGCTGTGTGCTAGAGCAAAGCTTAGTTGCAGGTGACTTTTTGTACTTCAAATAAGAGTCCATAACGCTGAGTACATTTCCAGATTAAATTTAAGTAGGTAGATATATGATATAAGCACCTAAAAGCGTTTTCTTGATTGCTTTTTAAACGCGCCTGAAAATCGTAGCTGTGTGCTAGAGCAATTGCTGCGGTTGCAAGTGTCTTGATGCCAGTTAATGCATCAACTACATTAACACCTCGCACAAGCTTTTTATAAGATAGATTATCAGAAATTCCTTCCCTGCAAGTGCACTCTGTGTCACATTGATTTGCCACATGTGATGACAATTTGTTAACTTGCCAGATCAAACCAAAGCTGCGTTTATCCATGTGATTGTGTCCTTAAAACTAATTGCATTGAAAACGCGCCTTACACTCCTTTTAAATAATATTAAGGGTTATCATTCCTTATTTCCAGATTAGTTTTAAATATAATAGAACACCTTAAAACGATTTGGCTCTACTTTTATATCCAATGTAATTCATCCTTGCAAGAGCACTCTGTATCACATAAAATTTTTATAACCTCATGTGAGACAATTTAATACCTTGCTAGATTAAATTAAAGCTGCGACTTATCCATGTGTTCGTGTCCTTATAACTGATCACATTGAATACGCGCTATACACTAGTTCTTGAATAAATATTCCTAATTATAAGTCAGTAAGCATGTTTTGATTGTTTATTTTTCTTTTTTTATTCAGGTCATTCGTCCATTTCTGCTGCGTCGCCTTAAAAAGGAGGTGGAAAAGCAAATGCCAAAGAAATACGAACATGTTGTCATGTGTCGTTTGTCCAATCGTCAGCGTTATTTGTACGAAGATTTCATGAGTCGATCCAAGTGAGTTACTCTCGCTCTAAATCAATTTAGCAAAAACAGATTCTTTAATAAAACAATTTATGTGTGCAGAACCCGCGAAACATTACAAACTGGCAATTTGCTAAGTGTGATCAATGTGCTGATGCAGTTGCGGAAGGTGTGCAATCATCCGAATATGTTTGAGGTGCGTCCAACGATATCACCGTTTCAAATGGAGGGCATTGCATTCCATACACCGCGTCTAGTCAGCGACATCTTGGAGTATGATCCGTTCACGGTGAGTTTGTGCATGCCACAGCGATAGAATCAGATGCAATCGATTGTTAAAATGATGATAAATTGTCACTGAATATTGCGACTCAATCTATTTTGGAG